ATTATATTGCAGCCTAAAGCAAACTTTCCACCAAAATTTAGTATGTGAACAAAAATGATAATGGTACAATCAATTCAAAGGATATCTAAACCCAAGAACAAAAATGTTTTATATTGCATTTTATTAGCTGCATTGGATTTAATTTTTTGGGGCTTAGGACATTTTCAGCTAGTACATAAAATACCAGCTGATTTTACTGTAAATGCAGTGTCCTTGTCACTTCCTGTGAGCTGAACTGTAAGCACAATGCTAATCCCCCCACCTCCCATGTAAAGGAGATGAAGGGGGAGTTCACAAAAAAGCATCAGAACCCGTGTCACATCAGTGCTGCGTTCCGGTCCGATAAAAAAAAAAAATGCTGAAGCACTATTTTTTTTCAGATTGTACAGGACCAGAATGCAGGCACTGATGTGCCACGCATTCTGGTGTGGGCAATTGCACTGCAGGCGGGGGCCCCTAAAAACTCAGGAAGCGTATTGTAGCGTATCTGGAACGCACCGGAGCTGGTGTGAAATTACTGTGTATAGATTTCCTTAGTTTTAATTTGGAGAAAGTTAAAAAAAAAAAAATTATTTTACACTTTTATGTATTTTGTGCAGCCCCATATAGTTACCCAAAATATAAAAGACAAAGATTTCTGATTAAAAAGATATCACAGAAGTGCAATTTTTAAAACTTTTTTGAATGTTTATGCTTTTTTTTCCATGAGTGCTTTATTCCCCCCTGGATGTTACATTTTTATGATTTTAGGGGGGGAAAAAAGTTTGCATAAATTCTTAGAATATGAAGGTCGGTTTAGGTTGATGAGAAAAACATTGTATTGGTCAACATTGTAAGAGCTTTAGGATTGCTAAAATTTCAAATGTGTTTTAATGACACTTGCTAACATGAGCTTGCCCAGGCAGTAGATGTTCCTCATACACTCACCCAGACCACCCATCTCAGATTTATATACATACACCCCCCCACCCCCTTCATAGGGGGGTCTGGGTGAGGTCAGTGAAAACCTGATCTAGCTTACCCCTGCTGCTCTGAAGGAATAGATCACTTTTAGTGGTAATCTATTGCTGGTTTAAGGGCCCATTCACACTAGATGCAGTACGTTTAGGCCCGATTCTGGCCAGAACGCACTGCCTCGCATTGCGGCCGGCTCACTTTTTTTTTGTGGGGCAGGAGGGGGCGTGGCAGGCCATTGAAGTGAATGGCCCCGTAGCCATACCCTCGCATTGATCTCACCGAACCCCAGGCATAATGTTCCTTGCGATCCTGTGCGGCCGATAGCATTGCGGCCGGTAGGCGTGGCTACGGTGCCATTCACTTCAATGGCCCGCCACGCCCCCTCCTGCCCCACAAAAAAGTGAGCCAGCCGCAATGCGAGGCAGTGCGTTCTTGCCAGAATTGGGCCGGAACGCACTGCATCTGGTGTGAACGGCCCTGAATAAGCCTATGCAAGATCACTATAGCAGTGACTTACTGCTGCAGGGCAGAACAGAGCTGCATATCAGTTCCATCCTATCCATCATTCTGACGCAAAGTGTTGCGATTCAACTTCCTATGTAAACACAATGTTGAAGCATGGTGTCTACGATCACTGCTACAAAGCGCTACTATAGAGGAGCTTAGAGCTGGACCTGGCCAACGGGCAGAACTTCCACTGCTAAAGATGTCTGGGACCCGCTGGAGCAGCCGAGTCCTGGTGCAGTTTTAAGATGACACCTGGTACTTGAGTGGTTAGGAACATCATTTTAAATCAAATCATTAGTAAATTTCTGCGATCTTCAAACTACAGCTTTCCTAGTTGCTGTCCAAAGAAAAGGGTGTTGGACAGTAGCTATTATCGGTTTGCCAGAGAGAATAAAAAAAAAACAGGCTGCCTAAAGTGTTGCACTGTCTGTTAATGCAACAGAAGGGCCATTTCTTCGATTCTAACGGCAAGCAATATTGTAAACGACAGAGTTTTATCTTTTATCGTGCATAATACATAACAGAACAATTTCTCACTGCCAGTAACCTTACAGTTTCTGTGAATATGTAGTGCTGTATTTCAGCCTTAAGCCCACACATGAAACACAATACCACACGATTACAGGAAACAAGCCTTGGCATTCAGTACATCGGCGCAATTATCTTAATTGAAATTAAGCTTGCTTCTATGACCTTGATATCACACAATGTCAGATTTAAAAAGGTTTATATCCATGATCTGGCTCACACAAGCTAAGAAAATGGCATTTACCTGTCCAGTCTAGGTAAAAAAGTGATACATAAAATGTCATCATCTATAACTCTTTAGATAAGAGTGCATATTGTTACACATGATCTAGAGAAAACGAATCACCACAAAATGAAAGGAGTTACCCTGGCGGGGGTCCTGGATTTGACTGTTAAGGATCTTTCCCAGAACTGGATCCTTCCACACACCAGCTTCTTGAGACATGTTGTACAAGAGTAAAAGCTCATGGCTGCCATTTTCAGTTAACCGTTCATGAGCAGCCTAAAAAAAGCACATGTAAATGAAGCTTTATTATTTTATTATGCTAATGACGACTAGTTCCACAATTTTCTTATTCGCACACATTAAAACACAGCTAAATAACAAACAAACTGGTCTAATTTAAAACATCATTACAGTTCTAAAAACAAACAAAAAAATGTCTATTATACATACTGCAAGGATTATCTTGTCTGCCACACGTATTTAGTCCCATTCAGATCACAGTGCTAAGGTGTGTTAAAAGTGCGTTGCATTAAAGTAGTCCATTCTAAATGGTCCACCACTCAGAAAAATATGCACCATTTATTCCAACGAAGCATACTGCAGCACAGATGCCATGCACTGTGATGTGCTGCCATTGAGGTGCCAATAAAAATGGAAAAATAATGAGTTACAACAATGCACACAATGCCCTTAGACATGCACTTTTCTTTGGGCTGAAAGTGATCTGAACCAGAGCCAAGCGGACTTTAAAGGGAAGATTGGATCAACAAGCAAAACAACACACTCCCCTCCGAGCCCAATCAATTGCACAAAGGTATTCCCCACCCCAAAGTGACCAGGAGTGCCCACGCTGCAACTGACTGGGCCAACAGGGGGTTTGCATTGGGCCAGAGAAGGGGGATGCAGTATTGATCACAATTTTGAGCAGACTTGAGCAAACTCTGGCAAACTGGGCTTGCACCAAGCCCAGCACTACGCCTCAGTCCAGTGCAAGATAGTACTTGCACTGGAAAAAAATAATATTGCTTGTCATTCTCATTTTTTAGAGTTTATACAGCCAAGGTTGCTACGCGTGACCTTCTTTGCTGTATCCAGCCTAGAAAAGGGGGAAGTCTCAATTTTTCCTAGATATAATAGTTTACTGCTGTTGAGGCAATAGAAAATCTGGGAATGGAGCCCACAGCTCTCTAGAGAAAGTACACAGGTATATTTAGTGATATATTCACATCACAAATGTGGTGTATGTTTTTCTCACGAAAAGGTGTGTATATAAAACTCACTTGGCAGAAAAAACTTGTTAGTTCATGTGCTAAGGTACAGCTCATGTATATCAAGACAGATGGTGCTGGTCCAGTTAAATTTATTAAGAGACATACAAATATTCAACATGCAGGAATGTCACATTTGTGGTCAGTTACAACGATGCAGGCCTTGGTAGCCAATTATATTGTAGCCCATATGGTTCTACTGTAATTTTTTTTTGACCAAAAAGGGGCCTGAGAGCCTCTGTTCTGTTCTATTCTGTTGCTGAGAAAAGGATTTTATAGCGAGTCCAAAAATCCTATTTTCTCTCGCATTCATCGAGGGACAAAGGAAGCCTTAACCTTTGGGACGTGTGCGAAAGTAGCTCAACTGAAGGGTGAGCAACATGGCAAACAGGCCCAACAGGGAGCTGGGGACTGCCTGCGGCTCAAAGAACCCCCCGGAAGGACCTTATGCCCAAAGCTGGCTTTAGATGAGGCTGCAAAGTCCACCTAGAAGAACCTGGTAAATGTGTGCACAAAAAAAAAAAAAAAAAAAAAAAAAAAAAAAAAAAAAAAAAAAAAAAAAAAAAAAATCAGGTAGCAGCCTGGAAAACAGTTGCTTGATGCTGTAAATTCCAACAAGGACTTGTAGATCTAGTAGTGTGCCTTGTCTGGAAAGGGTTGAACACAATTATTTGAGGCCATAAGCTTGGATGATAGTCTACCTGAGCCACGAAGAGATGGTGGGACAAAAAGTCAGTACACCATTATTTGGCCCATCATGGATTACAAAAAAGGAATAGGTCTTCCTAGAAGAAACAGCAGCCTCACAGCCTTAACCATATCTAGACAATGGAGGGAAATGTATTTTTGGTAAACTGAAGCGGGACACAGGGATGAAAGAACAACGTTCTGGTTAAGGTTAACTCACTGCCACAGGCAGTGATTTCAGCAAATAATGTGGAATTGTTCAAGAAACTTTTGGACGATTTCTTAAGGGACCGTAATATACAGGGGTACGGGTACTCCTAGAATGAGATCCTAATAGGTTGGACTTGATGGACTAATGTCTTTATTCAACCTCAAATACTATGTAACTATGTTAGAGGTAGAAACTACTTTATGCAAGAATGAAGCCCTGGACCTAGTCACCCCCGTGTTCCAATGCAGAACCACAATTGTTTTCTTGCAGGATAAAGCCACCAGTTTAGAGAATTGCCTCACAGAGGTAATGGCTACAAGAAAGACCACCAGAAGGTGGAAGTAGAAGGAATGTCTCTAGCGGGTTTAAATTGAGGTTTCTGAGGTGCAGAGAGAACCAGACTAAGATCCCATGCGGACAATGGGGAGTCACACAGGAGACCACCTATACAAAGGTCTTATTGAAAGAGTGAAAGGCCAATGGGCTCAAACAGAATAGAAAGAGAAGAAACGTGACTATTCACAGTGCTAAAAGCCAGACTATGGTAAAGACCCAGCTGCAAGAAAGGGAATATTTATCCCATGGGGAAACTCCTTGGGTGGAAGCCCGAGACTCACACCAAGTGAATTATGCATTGTCATGTCCAATGATAGAACAGGTTGGCGTACCACATTCACCTGGGCCAGTCTGGCACAACGCAAATCACCAGAACACACTGCAGTTTGATCCTGTAAGCTGAAGAGGAAAAAAGTTTCAGGGGGGAAAAGGCATAGATCAAAGTGTATTGATGCCACAGAATCACCAGAGCATCCATTGCTTACGCTATAGGACCCCTGTACCTGGAGAGACAAACCAGTTTGTAGTTTAACCTGGAGATCAGGAGGTCCAAAATCTGGCATCCCCCACTAGTGACACAGGTCCTGAAACACCTTTGGGTGAGCAGACCACGCTCACTGGTCCAGGCACTGCTAGCTATAGAAGTCTGATTGCCAATTGTCCACACCTGGAAAGTGCATGGCTGACAGGGCTGAAAAACCAAAGTTTTGCCCAGGACAGGATCTGATCTACCTCTCTTTCACTGGTGAGACTTCCTCCCTGATTCCTTCCTAATAGATGTATGTCCTCGCTGTGGCAGTGTCTGACTGAATTTACATTGGATAACTCTACAGTAGAATTGTCCAACACGGTAGCATGCCAAATTGCCTGAAGTTCCAGGCTGTTTATTAGGAGAAGAGATTCACCTGATGAACAAGTCTCCCAAACCATCAGGGTGCCCAGGTTGGCATCTGTCATAAGGATCCTCCAAAACACGGGAAAGGAGGACGTCCTACCCAACTTCCGGATTCCTAAACCAGCAGACCAGGGACAACCTGGTCCTCTCTGATAGACTAATATGTCTGTTTGGAATTACTTCAACAAATGACAGAATGTTGTGTTGTAGTGGTTTGGAGTGAAAGTGGGCAAATGGAACTACATCAAAAGAGGCTACCATCAGACCTAGGACTCTGATACAAAAAGTCACATGGCTCCTGAACTGGAGAGTCTGAATATGAGAACAGGGTGTCTCAAGTTTCTCCTCTGGAAGGAAATCTCAAGCCTGAGCTTTGTCCAGAACTAGATCCAGATACTCCAAATGATGAATTGGTTCCAACGGAGAGCCCAGCCACACCCATTTAAGCCAAAGGAGACTGAGGATGGAAAAGGCTCTAAGATCAGAGGATAAAAATTTCAGGCTGCAGGCCTGTGCAAGCATCCCCAGAACCGTAGAGTATTCACCCTGCAGATGACGTCAGCACTCTGTTGCACAATGTTAAACCCTTCTGCGACAAAACCTAGTGGAAACAGGGATTAAAAGCCCTAAACTACTTAAATACTCACAAAGTCTTCAAAGACATGGCAAATGCTCAAGCAATGCCAATGGCTCTGAACCTGGAATGAGCTCCACAGCTTACATTTATCAGAACTGGAAAGCACCTTATGCAGAGCTCAGTGCAAAATGTCACTACCTGGCTATTCTTGCAATGCCCACTTCAGCGGGGTATGGACATGGTACTCCAAAGGCTAGGCTAAGGGCAACCATTCCAAAAGCTGCAATCAGAAGCTAGAGCAGCAATGTAGAGAACAGACTTGATGGAAGAAAAAAAAAAAAAAAGCTGAAAAAGCTGATACAAGCCAAAACAAAACAGAGCACGGAGGGAGCACATTGTCTGTATGAATGAGTGAGGGTCTGGTATTTCAAGACAACCTGTCACTTTGACCTGAATACAAAAGACCCTTTAAACACGTGTTAAATGGTAATATTATGCCTTATAAAATATATATTTTATGAATTCCACATTATGCAGACAAATATTTTTCCAGTGCACGAGATACCTTAATAGAGCCTTGAAATTTCTGCCAATGATCATCTGGCAACTCTTGTGGCAAACATAAAAGGAGTTCGACACAGCTTCTGTGATGGTGGGGGAAAAAAATGTAAAAAAATTACGACATTTATTGGAATTGGCTACATATATAGTAATTGCACAGTGCTTCATGTCTTGTGAAACAACAGAAGCAGAGATATTAAACATGTTGCAGTTAAAAACAAACATCACCAAAAACTAACAATTCTGTTTGGGTTGAGCCAAGTAGGATTAGCAACTTGCCAGCTGCTTGAATCACTTAGACCCTAATTGTGTGATTTCTCTGCAGTAATGTCTCCATCCACTGCGCTATGATCTTGTGGATGAAGACACTACTGCAGAGAAACCTTTTGAGAATTATACATTTTAATTGGTTATTCCTCCCTACTAGAGATACAGGTTTTGCTTAATAGGAGATTGAATCACACACTGGTTTATATGAAACAGGGATTCCAGCAAGATAAGTTTACCAGAAACCTGCTTGATATAAGCCAACATGCAATTTAGCCTCCTAGTAACCAAAACACAAACTCCAGTAGGGAAGAACAGCAGTTTACACTTTTTCGCCTTAAGTGTGACATGGTCGTGCAGCTGTATGCACCAACCACAAGTCATCCACCTACAAAATTGTGGCTAGCTTAATGTAAACTGGATACTGGCACATTTATGATGCATTAGGTGAAATTTCTGACATGTCTTGGGGTCAGGGGCTGCCATATCAGGGGTGTAGAGTGGTGTGCGTTTAGTTGAAGCACCATTTTCATAAATAAAATATGAAATATAAATAAAGTTTTTTTTAATAAATTTTTATTCAGCTCCCAAAACATTAAACACAGTCGGCAAAGAACAGTCGGCAAAGAACAGTCGGCAAAGAACAGTCGGCAAAGAACAGTCGGCAAAGAACAGTCGGCGATCAAGAAAATAAAGCCTTAAATTGTATACAAAAATAAGAGCCATTACAGTCCTAGAACTACAATTACTAATGAACCTAAACTGTATGGGGGGGATCGTCTCACCATATCTTTGCCAAGGGGCACACCAAGATAAGGACATTCATGGAGAAAGGGATTAAGACACGATGAACTAGCTACAGCAGGCATGGAGAGGGGAGGATGGAAAATGTAATATAAAATGTAAAGGAGGGGGTAGAGTTCAGCATCAACCTATGTTGGGGGAAGAGAGTAGAAGAAAAACAAAAAAGGGAGGACAGGGGGGGGGGTTAAGGAAGACTCTGAGGGACTACGGAAGGGGGGGGGTGGTACATGCTGGGGGAAGGGGTGGTTTGGTGGTGGGTAAACCAGGAATGATGTGATGGTTAAAAAAAAAGAAGCTATATAGTTTCTACTGCTACAAAAATACTCACAAAGCTAGCCGCTCAAGTACCAAGCTGACATTTTCGCACTGTGAGGTAAGGTAGGGCCGAGCATTTGAGTAACTATGAATGGCCACCATGTACACTTCCAATAATGGCAAAGAATCTTCTGAAGCTTTCCACTTTTCAGCAAATTCGAGAAGAGTCTGTTGAGAAAGGAAAAAAACAAACATTAGCATTTTCTGTACAAACATGCAAAATTCACGGAAAGGGGAACACAGCATTTCATTACAAGGTATAAAATTCAAAGATACCATATGCACCATTTTGCTGGCATGATTATTTACTTTAGTCATTTATATAACAGTTTAAATCACAAGGATCACTGAACCATTTAGGTCAGGGCCCAGGAGCCAGGTAGCCAATGCTCCTTAAAAATGACAGCTGGCGCTTAACTTTTTAGGTTTCATCTAGATGTCAATGGAGTTGGCTCCTCAAATCCATATTTATTCGTCCACCCCTGATTTAGGTCACTCCCTGTTCAAGACAGAGCTTACACTATAATGTCCTGACCACCAAGCCTGGCCAGTTTCGTTAGCAACTGACTGATCTACAACATAGTCTTGGATATTGGGGGAGTTCCAAGAAAATATAGGAAGAGCATACAGGTTTCTTTCAGAGGGAATTGGAACACATGATCCCTGGAATAGCAAGACAATGGCCCCAACCAAATGAGCCATTGTCCCAAGGAAGGACAACACTGTCCAAAAATACAGTTTAGATACTCACAACATGAGGATAGACAGTATATTACTTAGGGTGGTTTCCAACTACAGACATTGGTTTTTCAATAGTACTGCAATAAAACTAAGCACACCCAGATAACCACTTGTCAATACATTAAACATCCACTTAAAAAAAAAAGTAAAGCAAAACCCTATTTGGGACCTCTTTTTTTTTTACTTCTCTATTGGGTCATAGGAGTACATTTACTAACAGTCAGCATATAACAAGTTTACGCCTAACAGCTGACAGGGCAGCGCTGTGCTGCAGCCAGGAAGGATCCTGACAATATTGGGTCTAAAGCTGGGTATACATTGCTATATTTTTTTTTTTATTCAACCCGTGATGTGAACGAAAAAATAGAACACATTCTTCCATCAACGCTTACGAGCATTGATGGACGAATCCCCCACTATTTCCTTTGTATTCAGATAGTGGCCGCTGTAAAAATACCCAGAGCTAGCAGCTCTGCCAGGATGCCAGGTGGGGGTTGTTTCGTGTCACCCACATAGCGAATTTCAGCCGGTTCAAGAAGAAGTGTGTACAGTGTATAGCCTACTTAAGTGATCACTTGCTCTGCCTCTCTAGAGCCAAAGGCGCGCACACCCCCTCCCGTCTGTCTCTCCAGTGAGCGCTGAAGGAATAGCAAAGGGAGGGAGGAATTCCTGTGGGCAGCAGTGACTGAATGTCTATCTCTACGGGGAGAAGAGACAGGAGCTGAGCAATCAGCTCTTGGTATAAAGCCGAAATGGGATAGTTGCAGTGTCACATGCCAGCTAAAAGCAGCAGCGAGTATGTTTTACTTCCCACACTGGTCGAATTTTGTCTGAGTTCTGCCGACCAGTGTACAGCCATCTTTACACTATGCAAATGCACAGGACAAGCAGATTATTGGTCAGCTTATTATAAAGAAATTTGGGAGGCTACATGTAATTTGTACCCATTATTGATTTTCAATAGTTAATCAATCATTTTCAAAGTACTTTATATGCTTTGTATTACTTACATTTAGCTTAAGGTAACCACAAGCAACACACACGATCTAATAATTTAATAATCAATTTTTATTTAGACCTGGATACACAGTATATTCCCTTTTAAAGTGTATATTAATTTCTAGACAATTTATCATAAATTTCTTGCTCTTGAGCTAAGCTAGCAACAATCACCTGTACAAAAACCAAACAAAATCCATCCATAGTACTATTATGCTGTCCAAGGAATGTTCCCAAGTTCCCTGTAAAAGGTGGCCACACAGTGTTAGATCTCGATTGTTCATCCCAGTGGCAGAGAGCTAAAGATTCCACCATCTATGCCACACAGCAGTCACTGTTCAGCCAACTTTTCAATCAAAGTTTCTCGACTGGGTGGTGTCTGTGTTTATAGAACTTCCTATGTAGAGGTCTAAAAGTTTTTCCAATGTATTTTACATTTCTCACAACCATTATAGCATACTTACAAAGTCAGTCATGCAATAGACTGAGTGGCCAGAATATTATGACCACCTGACGTTTGTAGGCAAATTAGCTATAATTTGGCGCTGAAGTTGCTAGAGGGCCAGACCAGTATAAATAGGGAAGCAGGTTGTTTACCAGGACAGTAGAAGTGATTTCTCTGAAGCTATGGGTAAACAACGCAATTTAACAGCCTTTGAACGTGGGATGATTGTTGGCGCTCAGAGCCATGGAGCGAATTTTAGCAATACAGCAGAATACGTTAAATGTTCAAGAGGGGCTCATTGTTAAAGTGTTTAAAGACTGGACTGTCAGCCGAAAATCTGGGTCTGAACGTGCGAATTGTAGCCGTCAGCGACTAGTCAATGTTAGGGCAGAACGGAGAGTGGCAAGACTGGTACAAGACAACAGAAGGGCAACAGTGCAGTGTCAGATTCCTTGCATCACCTTTCAACATCTCGTGGAGTCACGAGGCGGCCCAACGAAGTCATCTCGTGGAGTCATCTCGTGGCCCAACGAAGTACTGATGGGGTGGTCATAATAATCTGGCCACTCAGTGTATACCTCATGGTTCATATTCACTTTGCACCTCGATCATCAATAACATTTGCTTATTCACATATTTACATTTAAAAGAGAACTATGGGGTAACCTTTTTATCCCATAGTTCTCTTTAGGGTCACAGGAGGACATATACCAACATCCTCCCGTGACCTAAAACTCAGTATTGCCCTCCTGGCGATTGACAGCTATGCCCGCCCCATCCACCATCCATTCTTTCAGTCGGCGCTGGAGGATCAGAGAGGGGAGGGTGGAATCCCTGCAGGGGGCTGTGACTGACACTCACGGCTCTCTGCAGGGACATGATCGGGAAGTGAGCAAGCGGCGATGTATTTTCACTCACTTCCCAACCAATAGAGCCGACGTGTTACAGTTTCACACATCGGCTCCAACTATGGGGACGAGTCTAATTCACTCAACCCATAAGTTGGTTCCTTTAAACATCCCTTTTCTTTCGCAAGGATCTCTCTTAACAAACAGTCTTTTAAAGACCTTGAACTTTTATATGTTATTTCCAGCCTTGCAGAAAACTTTCTAACATTAAAGCAATATATGCAAATGTCTCTTTACTATCTTATCTTAGGCATTTGCTTGCTTACAAAAAGGGTGTTAAAAGCCAAAAGCTATCAGAATGATTTCCTTTTACTAATATGCTCACAAACGTACCACTCTTACTAAATTTAGCCCTACCATATTTATATAGCCTCCTCTCCTTTAAAGAGGAACTTTACCCATATCTTTAAAATAACAGCAAAGGTACCTTTAGAAATGCTTAGTAATGACAATCTACAAACACATACTTCTAGATAACGTCCAGCCCTATACTCTTTGCATACCTTATTTTTTAGAGATGGACCAATATTTCGGCCGAAAATTGCACTTATTGCATAATATCGAAAGTGCAATTTTCTGGCCGATACAGTGGTGCATCCGTGTATTCTGTCCTCCCCGCTGGGAGCTGCCCCGTGTCCCAGCGGGGAGGAGAGAAAGTGAGACAGCCGGCCGAGCACTGCGGGAGGAGAGCGCTGTGAACGGCCGGCATCTCTCCACCCACACGCTCAGCCTCCTGTCACAGTCAAGCAGAGCGGTGTGTGGGCGGAGACAGGCCACGCTGTCACAGGAGGCTAAGCTCTCCACCCTAGACCGCTCGATCAGCCTCCTGTGACAGCTGTCAGGAAGGAGAGCCAATGTAAACACTCAGTGATCGCTAAGTGTTTGAACATAATTGAGGACATGGTATGTTTACTATAGCCTCAATTATGAATGAATGGGAAGTGATCTACATCACCTCCTGTTCATTCATGATTGTGGTTATAGTAAACATACTCTGTCCTCATGTTAT